CATTTTATTTAGTCTGTGAAGCAACTTTGTGTTCTGTTTTGTTTTTAATGCCTTTGTGCATCTTTTTGTTTGTCTTTGCTTTGTTTATTTCTGTATATTTGCACATGTATAGAGAATAATATATATACATTGTTTTGAAAAAGTGTCTCTACTCACTGGTGTCTCTGTATCAGCAGATGCAACCTCACAAACAAGTGTGACTCGAGCTCCGAAGACGTCTGCTCAAGTATCAGTCGCCTTTACCAGAGCGCCTTTATCGAGCAACCAAGAAGCCTCCAGGAGAGACCAGGGGACCAGCCCAGTGCAGTTCCTCTATGATCAACCAGAGCCAAGCTGTGAGAGATTTCACTCAGTTCATATGGAAACAGTCTACTTGAAGACGAGCCGTCGTCTGGACCGGGGCTCGCTCCCTCAGGCAGACCGTGAGAGGAGAGACCGTGAGAGGAGAGACCGTGAGCTTCACCCCGCTGCCCGGCACAGCAGCAGCTCTCTGGACCAGCTGTGGCAGAGGTTCTGTGATCGGTGGAGCCTGGAGGAGCCCCAGCCGACCAGTGACAGAGAAGCGTCGCTGCTGGATCGGCTGGAGCGTCTGTCCCGGCTTATTCATAGCACAAAGGAAACTAACACTTCAGAGGCGTATGGTCATCCAGGAGAAAAGTCAGAAAGGAGGGGGGAAGACACTACAGGTAAAGAAAGAAAGAATCGCAGTGGAGAGGTGAAGAGGAGCGCAGGTGGTGAGGCCACAGAAATGGAGCGGGAAGTCATCGGAGGTGAGCCTCGTCATCAGGCGTGGACGCAGAGGCTTCAGGTCGAGGGATCCTTCTCCAGCTTCTCCCACGACTCCTCCCAGAGCGAGCGCCTGTTTCCTGCAGACAGAGACGAGTGCGAGACCTTGTCCACCATGTCCGGCTCCATGTCCACCGTGGACACGGCGCGGCTGATCCGAGCCTTCGGCGCCCGCAGGGTCCAGTACCTGAAGACGAGCTCCAGCCTCAGCAGGCTGTACAGCACCATCAACAGGCAGAAAGAAGGGAGGGAACAGAGGAGAGGAAGAAACAAAGAGCCGCCTCACATCATCTCACTGTCAGAGACCAGCGGCACCGATGAATCCACAGTACGTGTGTTATTGCCGTCATCGCAATGTGCAATGAACATTTCTCTCACGGCCTCCAGAACCCTTAAAAGCTGTGTGAAAAAATGAAACTTTTAAAGGTTTAAAGTTAAATAACTATTCATTGATTATTCACACCTGTGCTTTTCCTAGAAATACACTAACTCATAATTACAATAAGTGCTGAACAGCTCTAAAGCTTTGATGTGGTGGCTTTGTTCTTCAGGTTGCTGCTGATTCTGCATCATCAAGCAGCACTAACACCCTCCCATCGCAGCCCGGCCCCTCCACGACTCTGGCTTCCAAGAAGGCTGTTAAACTGGTCAGCAAAGGCATCCAAGCAGGTCAGTGGTAAAAGTCAAGACATACTAATACATACTACAGTGCAACATATTTCCCACACTGTCTACATGATGAATCACTGAGCTACTGTTGTGTTTCCTCGATCAACAATAGAGAATACAGAGAGCAGAAAATGTGTTATAACCAAACATCACGTGTGTGTAACTTCAGGTATATTTTAGGTGCAACAAACTCTTCATTCTGTTCATTATTTTCACATTCACTCTCTTGGCACTGATGATAACTAAATTCTTGGCAGCTGGACGGATGATTCCTTCTGTTTCTGGAGTAAAGACGTCTTTCTGCTCATTTTATTTACTTCAGTTACACAAGCCACCATCAAACCTGTATGTTAAACAGAGTTAAAGTAATAAATTACATTTAGGGCTGACTAACTCTTAAAGACAAACAATAAACAGACTCAAGGAACTCATTCAGGCAACAAACAACCCATAATGCAGCTCTCTGCTGTTACTGTTCCCTTGTTGCTAAGGTTTAAGAATGGGGCACATTAATCAACGACGTACCTGAAACCTCAACAGTTAAAAAACGAATACATTAAAAACATTACACATAATATATAATAGTAAAGTTGCAATTAAAATAATTCTTTAAAAAAAAAAGTCTTCACACAGTTCTCTTCTTCCTCAGGTGACCTGGAGCTCGTCAGTAATGGGACCCGACGCCACACCAGAGATGTTGGAACCACGTTCCCGTCGCCTGGTGAAGCCGGAACTTCCAGGCAGATCTCATCTTCCTCATCCAGCTTAGAGAGAGGAAGAGGAGGGCGGAGGAGCCCCTCTAAGACTCAGGGGTTCCAAAAACAGAGAAAGAGCAAGAAAAGCCCATCAAAGACCTTCCCTGAAGGTACGTCAGGCTCTCGTTTAATGCGTGCAGTTCATTGTTTCACAGTAAAACTAAATCCTCGTGTCTGCAGGCGTTTCATGGTTCATCTCCGCTGACAACCTGAGGTCAGAGGCGAGGAAGGAGAACCGGTCCGAGGAGGAGGAGTCGACGTGGAGGCCGAGCACTGCCTGGTTTGAACCGTACAGCAGAATCCCAGCGTGGAGAGAACCGCTCAGACAAATCCACGAAGAGAGAAACAAACAGCCCAGTTTTACACATCACACTGAACCAGATATACATCCAAGGACCAAAACCAGGTCCTCTGGTCTGCCACGCATCTCTCTACAGGTTGGTTTGTCTTTACAAAACATCCATTAAAAGCCTGTTGCTGAGGACAGTTGTTTATTCTCTGTTAACAGTGTAGAAATCTCTCGCCTGAAACATCTAAAACTGTTGTGTTCATGAAGAATAACTTATCACTTATAGCTGATGGAGATACAAGATAAAATGTTTTTTTAAATGGGTTTTTTCTGATACAAGGTTGTAATTTTTCTATCAGACGGTAGAAACAATAGTGAATTGTTCCCTTTTTTAAATTTCTTGCCCCTGTAACTGCAGGATGCTCTGCTGATGCGTCGCCCAGAGTTCATCTCTCAGTCCAGACAGAGGGTGAAGCGCCTGGCTCTGCAGGTGGAGGAGAGGAAGCTACAGGAAGCCTTCAGCAGAGAGAGAGAGGGACTCTTTAGCCGGCCTGGAGGCCCGGGGAGGCTGCCAAGGCCCGCAGGTACTCAACAGGAAACTCCAGGAGGGGAAGAGTGCGATTGTAACATCCAGTCTGCTGAAATCTGTAGCTCACAGCGGCTCACAGAATCACTAGTGTCTGTTTCTAGAGCATGGAGCCGCTTTACTGAGGCGTTAGTAGTGTTTGGTGTTATTTAAAAACTGGACTGATTATTTCTCTCTCCTCTTTTTGTTCAGGCACCGCTCTGCTCAGGAGGGCTGTTCCCAGAAAGGAGATGATCCAGAGATCCAAACAGTAAGATTTTACTTTCTTCTGTTTTGAGTGTGATTTTTAATTCAAACTGTAAATTTATATGGATTCATTAACAATAACAACAATAGTATCAATACTCTGCAGTCTAGGCTGATCGGATATAACTACTTTTGTCTGTTATTTTCTCAATTTGTACAACAAGCATAAAAAAAGTATCAAAACAGGTCAGAAAAAATGAGTTTGTAATGATACATTTGAGCAAGACTGCTTGTCTGGACATCAGACTGGATTTAACATTGGTGTTATAAACGGTTAAAAGCAAGTAAAGTACCATGTAAGATGTTTTTAAATACAGTGATATGAATCTGTACATCATTAGTGGTTAAGGTAAAACTGGTCCTGCAGTACGTTTATTGAACACGTGTTGCTGAACGGTCTCAACTATACAACATTAAGTTTGTCTTTCTTAACGTTTTGTCTTAACGCCGCCTGTTCTCCAGGATTTATGAGAGTCTGCCGGAGGTGCAGAGGAGGAGAGAGGAGGAAAGAAGAAAAGCAGAATATCAATCTTACCGGCTGAACGCTCAACTCTACAACAAGGTACAACACAAACTGCTGATTCATCCATCTGATTTAAAACCAGCTCCTAAAATAAACTGAGCTGGAAAATATTTGTGTCTCACAGACAAACTCTATGTGAGTTTGTGTATTAATCAAATGAATGAACGTTGTTTCCTTTCAGAGAATCACCAGTCGTGTCCTGGGCAGAAGAACAGCGTGGCAGTGATCAGACAGACCTGTGAAACGTTTTACTGTAGATCAAATCAATGATGTGAAATTTTTACAATTTTATTAAGAACAAAACTACCTAACTTAACTGATAATAGCTTTTATTTATTTGTAACCACATTTCTTTTGTTTCTATTTGAAAGATTATGTAGAAAAGTAGAATTCTACTTATTTTTTACTGTTTTACACTCACAGTGGAATGTTTTTAATTGGTTAAAATGTGTTTGAATGTAAAAAATAAACCAAATATCTGCAGATTCTTGTTTTAATCCAAGGCAGTGAAGGCCGACAAAGATACACTGGCTTTAATGACTTTATTGATCAGTAATCGGTTGTGCAAGAGCAGGAAGCCACACGAGGAAAAGGTAAGACAAGTTTAGACAAGCTGCAGATTTCAGTACATCAGCTGCTCACTGAGAACATAAATAACACAATCAATAAATAACAAATGTCTGCATTCTCCCCCTTTTAACTACAGTTAAGTAGATGCACTATGCCCAGTTAATTAAATAAATCATAAAACTTCAAGTTATGACAATACTGTGTAAACATAAACAGTCTAACAAATCATTAAATAAAATAATTAGCATGGATTAATAAACTAAAAGCCTTTTTTTTTTCTAAATCAGCCATTGGCAAACGTGGTGAAGAGAAGCGAAGATTCTTTGGCAAAGATGTAGTTTTGCTTTAAACGAGGTTTGGTCTAAAGAAAAATAAGGCAGGTGATCGCTCTTTACCACAAGGCTCTCTGCAGGTTTAAGGCTCGGACAAAGTCTGAAACAACATCAGGAATCTGAGCAGAACAAAAGGTAATACAGTCGTTTCTTTTTGTAGTTCAATAACTTTACCAATACAACCGGTGTGTCATTTATACCAACAGCATGTAAAAGTAGACGGTAACGACTTTACAGGAATTTACACCACGAGTGTAATAAATACTAAATAATTTAAAAGCATATAATGTTTCTTCTGTGTTTTTAAATAAACATGAAAAAAAAAAAAAAATCAGCAAAAGCCAAAGAATTGTATCCCAGTTTTACACAGTAAATCCCTTGAGGTTAATCAGCTTTTCTGGTTCTGTGCAGTCCACAGGGTTTCAATCGAACCACAGAGCACAAACACAAAATCCTCCTCACATTCTTACAGCCAAGTCAAGCAACTGTGAAGGATTTAGTTCTCCTCCGTGGTTCCTCCTGTCACTCAGGACTCCTTATATGTGCAAAAAATTCTCATTGATGAAACCACAGTAAAATGCCCACTGTACTTTAAATGGACAAAACCTATTTTATTTTTTTTTTTCAGTGTAATTTCTAAATCACATAATCCTTCTTTCCCTTTAGACGGTTACGTTATTAAAAAAATGGAGCACACAACAGTGACACCTGATTAAAATGTACAACACAGCCATGATCCTTCTTCTTCTGTGTAACAATAACAGTAGCGCCAATAGTGTAACAGAGAAACATGGAGCAACATCCAATGTTCTGGCCTAATATAAACCACATTGTGTGCAGGTTCCACACCAGGGCCAAAGAGCAGCTTCATAAATACTCTACGCAACAAAATAATTCAGTGTATCCGGGCAGCATGCAGCGGTGCAGTTGCAAGTATCTCTACTTCTTTTTCTGGCCTTAAAACACAACGTAGACGTTACAGTACGCAGGGTTTGTAGTCGAGAGCTCAGCAGTCTCATCGAAAACCAGGTTGGGTTGAAAAGTCAGTCGAACGCCTGACGGTGGACACTTCTGTTACTGTGGAGGTTTGATAGTTGTAGTGTCACTTTAGTGGTACGCACTAAATAAATACGATGCTGGATATGATGGATTTTGCTTTAAAATGTTTAGAAATGAACAATTGTACAAGTAATTCATCGTTTTTGATCAAATTTTAGAAAATGATACATCATAATTTACCAAAATGAAGTGACATCTTTAGATTTGTTTTGTTTTGTTCGACAAAAGTCCAAAACTCAAGGATCAGAACCTGTGATCTTGAGATGAGACTGGTCTCCAACCTGTTTCTCAAAGATAAAGCTCATCTCCTGCAGGTTGTGATCTCACCACTAGTGATGTGAACATCCTGGTTTTGGCCCTGGAGTGGAAACCAGGCTGCCAAGCTGATGATGGAGGGTGTTGTTGTGTTGGTGCAGCAGGCAGGATCGCAGGGCGGGTGAAGTTTTAGGTCCGCAGCAGACTGTGAACTCTCTGCAGCTGAAACTGAGACAGGACGAGGCGGTGGACCTGCTCCTGACCGCGGGCACACGGCACCATGACCCGACCCACCAGCACCGAGTCGCCCTGCTTCTCCTCCTTCGCCTAAAGACAGAAAAGGGTTCGATATTAGATCTGCTGAGAGACGGTGGAGTGCGGTAAGTCACCTTAATCCACATCTAGTGGCCCGAGACGGAAACCTGATGGATCATTTACACTTCTGCCTCTCTAGTGGCTACGTATGTGTGGAGCGGGTGGAGGAGCGGGTCCACACCAACAACAATGTTTAAGAGGAAATGCAACAGTAGATTTTTTTATTGATGCACAACGAACTGGATAGTGTTAACATTTAGGGACTATTTAGAAAAAGAAAAATGATTTAGAAAAGTTTGCTTTCTGTTCTTTAGATCTAAACAGCCAGTGTGAATCCTTGAAGAAATTAAATTGTTTAAAATATAATTTAGAAACACTATTATTTGAAGCCAAAGATTTAGATTTAGATTTAGCACAAAGTAAACATGATTTATTTTGTTAAAATTGTTGACTGAATTTCATTTATTTCTACACTTTTCTACTTTTTTGGAAACATTTCATTTAAACAAATTCTCAGCAGAATCAAATCTTACTGGGATTCAGTTAAACCCGGTTCCATCATTGGCTTTGGGTTGATACATGTAAAGAATAACCTTCCTAATCTCTACAAATGGGATTAAAATGACAGTTTTACATTGTAAAATAATTCAAATAAAGATGGATTCAACAGAGGGTAGGATGGTAAAGCTTCAATACAGCAATCAAAATGTTACACAACCCTGACTGTGAATCCAGAGAGAATAATGAATCAGTGATGAGCTTTAAATGACGTCTGTAGCGGCGCTCTTACTTTGACAAACGAGGTTGAAGGGAACGTCGCAAAATCAGACGAGACTCGAGCTCCAGGTTGCTGGTTGACGACGTGCTCCGCTACTTCATCCTGACGGAGAGGAGAGAGGAAGTGTGGAGAGTTTGATTAAATGATCCTGTAAGGTGAGTTGTCTTTTTTTTTTTTTTCTGTGTGTTGAGTCGTTTACCTTCAGTCTGCCCAGAGTGTCGCTCAGAGATTGTAATCTAGCCGTCTGTTCCAGGAGCTGAGCACTAGGTGTCACTGCAGGACAAACACACAGTGTACTGCAAATGTAAATGCGTGGAGAAGACGTTTTGGGTTCAACCAGACAAAAAGACAAACTATAAATGAAATTAATCTTCAAACATGTATATTAACCCAACAAATAACACTTTAATCAGAATTCAATATTTTAAATTTACTAATACTAAAAATTCTTATAGTAAACAGACAATGCAGCATTTACATTACTCATAAACTTTTAATTTAATCATTTTTATGTAGACAAACATGTAGAGGAGGGAGAGTTTTGATGCCCCAAAAAGCTCCACCAATCAGAAGTGTAGAGCAGCCTGTATGTAGCCTGAGAGGTAAAACCCAGGACAAACAGCCTGAAGTCTTACTGCTGCACATAAAAATGTTTTACTGCTTTTGGAGCAGAGTTTAGAAAGATTTCAGTGAGTCAATCAAACTGAAACTGTTAAAAACAGGAGGACAAAAACACACTCGCTCACACACCTGGAGATTTCCCAGTGATGTCCACCACCTTAACGTTGGCACTCATTTGCAGCAGAGTCTCCAGCAGCTGGTCGGTCTTGCGGTAGAGGGCGCTAGAGAGCACTTCGGGACGCCCTCCGTCTCTGGAGGGAAGTTTGGTCACGTGAAGAGGAGGCAGAGAGGCGAGCTGAGCGCGCATCTTCTCAGCCTGCGAGGGAAAAGTGGAGTGGAGATATTAATCCAGAGTGCACTTTATCACTTTAATGTAAATTTAAGACTTTAAGGACTTTAATCTTCAGGATTGACTTTGTGAGGTTTATGATAAACATCAGTGTAAAAACTTTACGTTGTTTAAGGTTTGAAATTAAAAAGTCTGCCAAACTGAAAGAAGATTTCAAACTGAAAGAAGATTTATGTGACTATGTTCAGAGATCAATGTGCATTAGATATCAGCTCGTCTTGGGTTTGACAATGAGAGAAACAGGTCAGTTCAATTAAAGAAATTGTTCAACGTGTTTCAAAGATTTAACAAATCTTGCTAAATTTGTTATTATTAGACTAATTAAAGTAATAGAGTGTGATTTTATTTTGCTCATTTGTTTATATTATATTTTATATATTTATATGTCACTGTCATTTTTTATTTATTTTTTACATTTATTTGTCAGTGACCAGGTGTAAGTCGACAGCTGTTGGAAGGACGATTCGTACCTTCAGTCTGTTGTTCTCGTTCTTCAGGTGTTTGATGCAGAGTCTCTGAGCTTCAATCTGCTGAGTCAGCAGAGGAGAGTCGATCACCTGGACACCCGAACCGGAACCGACACCGGACATCATGTTCGCTGCGGGAGCGAGAGCAGGTACGCGTTAGGAAACACTGGAGCCATATTTACATTCAGTAAACGCTGCTAATCTCAGTGCAGTTTACTGTCTTTATATAATGAGTTCAAATGAAACACAAGGTGCAACAACATGTATGAACAAAAAAAAAACTAACAATTTGTTTACAGCCGTCACATTTAAAACTTTTTTGCATGCATACTTTATACTTCTGAAGTATAAAAAAATTTATAATTCTGAAGAAAATATGAAATAAAAATGTCATAAAATGTGTATTTTTACACTTTAGTGCTGCTACTTTTACTTCAGTAAAGAAATTCATATTATTTACTGAAGTAAAAGTACTCCAATCACAGTTCAAAGGTCAAACCATTGTGTAACTTTTCTTCTATGATGTAATAAATTATTAAAACCAATTAAATACTGAGCAGAGTTGCTAAATATGGATTAAGACCATGCAAGGAGATGATGTACATGCCAGAAAATGAATATGAATATCACATTAATAATAATAATAAAACGTGTCGGTCTTAATGGTTTAATAACAGGGTTTCTGCAGGGTTCAAGTTTAATTTAAATATACTTATTAATACCACATTAATGGTAATTAATATACCGTCCAGTATGAAAGTATTATGGAGAACCAAAAGGGACGATACGGTCTAGATCTATTTATTATTATAATATCACATTTTTTTGTATTTCCCAGCAGTAAGTGACAATAATTGCTAATGATAAAATGAAGTAACGACCTGGATGAGGAGCAGAAACATGGATCAATTGATTCATCAATTAAAAATTATTATTTAATTTAAGTTCATTTTGCTAAAATCAACATATTCGGAGCTAATGAGCGTCCTAGTTTCCATAACGAGCAGTAGTGTGTAACGTCTCCCAACATTTTATAAGAACATAATGATTTTTGTAAATTAAATTTAAGATTTTAAGATTTTTTTTGAGGAAACCAAACTGCTTTTTAAGGACTTTTCAAGACCTGCAGACACCCTGAATAAAACATGCACAAGTAAATAATTCAATTCTTTCAAGATGAGTCCTTTTTTTTTTTTAGCATGCAGGATCAACAATGATCGGATGTCAATACAGGCAGGTAGATACCTTTCTGTTCCTCTGCAGAAGGTAAAGTACGACATTAAAAAGAAAAAGTTATAGAAAGAGAGAAGAGTAAAGACAAAGAGGAGGTTTTTAGGTTGTTAGGGTCAAAAGGAGGAATTAAACAGTAGTTGGAGTTAAAATGATGATAAACTACCAGACCAGGGTCACAAAGTGAGCTCATGTGTCGTAATGTGGCTCCTTTACCGCCTGTTGTTGGTAAATGTTTGTAGTTTTCCTTCCACTCACCTCCTGCTATTCCTGTGACGATGGAAGCGATTCCCGACGGGCCGGTTCCTCTCAGCCCGTCGATGGTCATCTTCGATTGGCTGTTGATTCGCTGCTTCAGCTCGGCCTTCTCTGACTCCAGCTGGTCGATGTCGGCCTGCAGAGCGTCCATCGTCTCCTCAAACTCCCTGCAGAGAGGAGGACAACACGGCACAGCTGTAGACGTCCGATACACAACTTTTAATCTGTGAATCTACAGTTGGACGTCGGTCTTACTTCTCTTTCTTCTTCAGCAGAGTCTGAGCTTCGTCCAGTCGAGTCTGAATCTTCTCGACGCGTTCGTCTGCGTCTTTGGATGAACTGTCCAGCTTCTTCTCCAGCAGACTGAGACGGACGTTCGCCTCGCTCAGCTCCTCTCCCTGAACACAAACGCAGCTTTCATGCAATAAACATTTTTCACTGCTGATCACACTGGCAATTATTTTCTTAAGTTTGGTGAATTAGAAACCAGAAGTTAATTAGAATTAACGTTGTGGTTTCCTGATGCCCTCTGTGGCTTTTCAGGGGGTTCGTGTTTGGTCTTATCTGTCGTCCAGAGCCCAAAGATGCAATTTTTCCATTTATATTTTAATTCTCTGCGACATCTTCCACAGTGATTTAAGATTTAAGTAATTGATTATTTAAAGTAGTTTATTTAGACCCTGTAAAGTCTATACAGGTGTGAACATTGTTATTTAAATAAAACCACCTGAGAATAGATTGAATCTTGTATTTTCTAGTGTTTCTTAGGAAAGTAAAAACACTTAAATCTGACACATTTGCTCATGAATTCAACTTTTCCTTTGTAAGAGAAGGAATGTGGGATTTTCTCTTTCACAAGTTTATAAAGTCTCTCTCTCTTCTCTTGTGCAGGTCGGCGTGTTTGCCTACCTTGATCTTGAGAGACTTCTTCAGCTCTTTGATGACCGTCTCTCTGTCCTCCAGCTTCATGCCGAGACCTTCAGCATCAGTGATTTCAGCTCGAAGAGCCGCCGCTCGCACATCCACGGGAGGCGGGTTCTGAGAGGTGACAACAGAATAAAGTCAGAACTAAAAAAAATCTAATCCTGCTAAAGAGAAACCAGGTCCGGTGAGAACTCGAAGTTCTTCACACTGAAGTACCTTGTTTTGAGGTTTCTCTGAGTCATATTCTCCCTCCTGCATTGCGGTGGCCATCTTGTTCATGGTTGCTATGACGATGCCACAGGACTGCCGCAGATACTCGTAGGGGTTGGCGCCCTGGGATCCATAAATCTGAAAGCGATCGTAAGCTGTTTATTAACCAGAACAGTCAGATAATCTGTGTCGGTCTCATCGGTCAGTGAGAGCGTGTACCTGCTCTCCTGCCTTGAACGCCACATCCTCCAGTTTGAGGGCCGACAGCCCCTCCTGTTCACCGAGAGGCGACATCATCTGAGCTCCAGCTGCTGCCACCTCCTGCAGCACCGCCACCACCCAGGTCAGGTGTTTCCTGCAGTCTGAGAGGGTGTCTGACACCTGCGGGTCAAAGGTCAACATGACTGAAGTTATCACAACTAATGTATTTATATACTCGACTTCAGATTTAAATAAGAATTAAAATAAACATTTAAAATTAAAATGATTCATTAATGTCAGCTCGGCCAAATTAGCTGGAGTGGAGGGTTAACTGTTGCTGTGGTTACCTGTTGTCCGAAGTTAAGCGCCGCTGGGATGCCCGGCGCGTCGGTTCCTGGCATCCTGCGGCGAATCTTCTTGCAGAACTGTCGGATGTCGCTGCAGGACGTCTCCAGGTCCTTCAGCAGCACGGCGAGGTCGGACTTCTCCTGACCCGTGTGCAGGAACGCCCGCAGACGACCGACCTCCACCGCCATGCAGTCCAAGGCACTCTGGGTAAACTGCGACGTGGACACAACAGGTGACGTTCAACTGGTGAAGACAGCAGCTAAATATTTACATGAGTGTGTGGATTTCTTTTATTTTAAAAGGAGGCTGGATCCAGATCCCTCGCAGCCTGTTGGTGGTACTCACTCTGATGTGATCAGCCAGCTGCATGGTGCAGTCCTCATTCTGGTCTGCCAGGTGGATGCTGTACAGTTGCTGGGGAAAGGTCATTTTGGAGATAAGTATAAATTCACATACAGTATTATGGTTTGTGTCGTCGTTTTATAAGGGATGTGCAGTTATATTTAGTTATACAATTATTAAGATAAACTTTACATACATACATACATAAACCATTTAACTGCTTAACAGAAAACCCAGTGATGACTGCTGTTTCAGACAGAATTGTAGTTTAGTGTAAAGTGTAATTTTTATACTTGATAAGTCACTTTAAAGTTTCCCTGTTAATTGCATGTTTACATTCAGTGTTTCTCACTAAAGCTGTGTATCCTGGAGGTCAAACAAACACGTTAAATGTATTTTCTTCTTCTTTCAGTCCAAAAATAGAAACTGCTCCACAGGGAAACATTCTTGGTTTTCTGTCAACTGACAAATAGATTGACTGTTTCAGCTCTAACTGTATGTCTGCATTAGATTTAACTGAAATAATCGTGTGTGTGTGTGTGTGTGTGTGTACCTGATAGTATTTAATGGCCTTGGTGAGCGGCTCCACGTTGACTGTCTCGTCCAGCTGGTCTTTGTGCAGCAGGTCGATGAGGAAATCCAGAGAACGTTCATGGACGCTCATCTCCGGGTACAGAGAGCCGATCTTCTTATAGACATCAACACTGCACTGACCCAGAGCCCTGAGACACACACACACGCACACACACACACACACACACACACACAGAGGTGCATGTCTTACTTACAACTTATATAAAGATATATTAATTATTCCTCCATCACTCCTGTAGGCACCGTTCTCTGAAATCAGGAACTAAATATCTGTATGATATCAGTTCTCTTTTCAAAGGTGCCTTCATATGCAAGTAACATTTAAAAATAATTTTTTATAAACTTAGAAACACATATTTCTTGTTTCTAATACTTAATGAATAAAAAATAAATAAAGTTCTGAAATGCTGAAAAAAGTATTAAATTAGTTCATAAACACACTATAAAATGTAAATTACTGAAGGTCTTGAGTGTAGAGATAAAGTTTAACTCTATTAACTATGGAAGAACAAACGAGAGAAGACAGATTTAAATAAAATAGTTAATCTCTCAGCGCTCAGACTCTCTTCTGTTGTATGTTCGTGGTGCAACGTACTGCTCATATTTGTGTAGCGTGGCCTGCAGCAGATTGAGCGAGTACACCAATCCGCCAGCGAAGCTCAGCTGCTCCCCGGCGGCTCCCTTCAGCCCCGCTCGCTCCACACAGTTCTCATTCAGGTCAAACTTCTCCTGGGCCTGTTTGCTGATCAGCTCGGCCTGCAGACGCACACAAAGATATAGTTCAACATCGCACAGAAACACGTCGACTTTGTGCGTCTCTGTTGGAGGAAATGTGGTTAAAGAAGTGTTTACCTTGCAGATGAGCCTGGGGATGAGCAGCAGCACCAGGATGCAGTCGTGGTCTCCACCGTGACGAAGGAAGGACTCGGGCATGAAGGAGGTCAGAAGAGAAACGTGTCTGTTGGCCTGGCCCACCTCCATCTTCCTCAGCTCCATCTCAATGGCCTGAACACACACACACACACATTAAATATACATTAGAGCCTCAGAGCGAAGTTAAAATCTAGCCATGGTGCAAACTTTAAACTCTAAACTTGAAAAAAGGACATTCAGGCTGATACGGAATCACATTTAACGTTATCACACTACAAGAACTGAATTATTCAAAGAGCCTGTATAGTTTCTGACCTTGGCGTAGGCCTTCGTCTCTGCAAACTTAATCTTGAAATCGAACATCTCCGCTGGCGGCTGCTGCTGCAGCTCTGCTGAGGCTTCCTGCTGACTGGTCAGCTCTTTGTTCACCTCCTGCAGCAAACACAAAGGAAGAATCAGGACGGATCACGAGACAGAAACATGTATGATCCAACAATGTGCTACATGCTGAATGTGCTGAATATGCGACTGTCCGTACCTGCAGGTGAGCTGTGAGCTCGCGGTATTTCTGGATGGTCTGCTGGTAATCAGCTACAGTCTCCTGCGCAGCTTCAACGCGTTTCTCAGCCTCTCGGCTTTTCGCAGCACCCAGATCCAACAGCTCCCTCAGCTCCAACTCCGTCTCTCTGGCGTTCTCCTGCAGCTCGTCGTTCATCTCATTTATAGCTTCCTAAAGAGGGCAGACGACCAACAAACAGCGTCCTCTACTGGAATCCTTTAATGATCGCTGTTGTAACGTCTAATCATTTTTGTTTATCTGTATTTTGGTGCCTGTGGTGTTTGACTGCGACACTGAGTTTCTGTAGGTGGCGCTGTTGAGGCTGCTGTTCACACAGACTCTTCCTCTGTTTCGCACACAAATTGCTAATGTCTCTGCCAGAAATCCAAACTATATTAACTTCTTCTCATCATTTAACAATCATGTAGACAAACTGTCCTTTTATATGAAACTGGTTTTTACTACACTGCAAATCACATTAATGGAGGTGAACATTTATAAAATGATTTCAATTACTTTTTTAATCTACTTAAGCCACAGTGTATAATTTGAAAACTCCCAGGATTGTCACCTGGTATTGTCCCTCATTTTTCTAATCACCATTACTTATGCCACCGTAATGCTTTGAAAGATGCCATTATCATTAAAATCCTGCACATACTGTAAGTGATTACTTTCCCCCGAGACAATGACAGACCAATCAGGTTTCTCATACAGGTTCATTTGTTCCAGTCGAGGTCAACAGATAACAGAGGTGGACTCTAACACAAACAGTAACTCAATAATGCCTGCAGTGATTACAAACACCAGAGGGCAGCACATACATATTAATGACCTTGGCCCATATCAATAATGGAATGAGTCAGCAAATTGTGGCACTTTAATTTTCTCTGACCCCCGTCCTATAAATACACACAGCTGGGCTGAGCAGGAGTCTCTAGTCATTAATCTTAGACACATAAAGACCTGACTCAACTTTGTGTTTGTTAACTTAATATCGTATTATCCACGTCTGTTTGTTTGTCCCTACCGTCTCTGAGACTGATGATCTTCACTCACCAGGTCAGAGACCGTCTCTCTCAGCTCCCGGACTTTCTCCTCCAGGTCCAGGTTTCTCTCCGTCAGCATCTCCACCATCTCCTCCGCCCCCAAGGCCGCATCCACCTGAAACGCAGCACGTCATCGTCAGAAAACGGCAGGATTATTTGTCTAGTGTGAAGCTGTGATGAGACTCTGACCTGTTCTTTCAGCTCGTCGATGGTCTTTTCTGCAGCCGTCATCTCTTCCTGCAGTTTTTCTTTCTGGCTCCTCAGAGTGTCCAGCTCCACGTTCTTCTTCTCCATCTGCTTCTGCAACTTCACGTGTTCCTGCTTCTCGGATGCCGACAGGTCGCGCATCCTGACACAGAGGAAAAACAGATCGTTAATTTAGATTTCTTTCCCCTTCTCACCTAACCATCCTTGTGTTTTTTTATTGTACTGAAGTAAAGGACTCATCCTGGGTTTGCTGCAGGGTGAAGAGTCAGTTTAAGGAAGTTTAAACACACCTACCTGACCAGTGCTTCCTTCAGTCTGCCGTTCTGCTCTTCCAGCTGTTTCACGTGATAACTGGAGGCAGCGCCATCCGAACCTGTGAGAAAAACCCCCAAAAACAAAACTGAGCTCTAACAAGATTCACTACTAAAGACCAATAACAACTTTAACTTTTAATTCATGTCACCAAATGACACTTCTAAGAACTTATGTTGCTGCATGTTATTGCCAAAAGAGAAGACGGCAAGTTTTAATTAAACAAATGGTGCCGTTATTTTGAGTTGGCTCTTTCTGCAGTTGTAAAGAAAACGAAGGAAGCGTCGATAAATCAGCCGCCATCATGCTGCACTCAGAGGTCACTGATGACCTGGTCTACATTACTTCAACAGTCTGATCACGTTACAGGACAACATTTGTAATTTCTGCTCCTGTTAAACTTGATAGTAACTGAACACACTAAAGCCGGTCCTGGCCATGTAGTTAGTGCATGTGAGTTCCTCCATTTCCAACAGAGGAGAGTTACTAAAACTGTTATTTTTCTACTAACAAAGATGTTTTTGGGAGTTTTATTTTGTTTGAGGTGTGTTTTTTATCCATTAGATTATCAGTTACTGGTCTTGTCAATGGAGTCTGGTCGGCAGTAGTGAACATTGTTTTGGTCTGAGATGCTGGAGCTCTAGTGCGACATCTAATGGCAAGCGAATTTCGTATATACAACCTTTAAAGATTGAAACTGTTACGTATTAAAACAAAGAATAACGTTTCATATAGTCACTACCTGCAGCAACCTGACCTGTTTAACATGTAACGATTATTTTTAGCCTTACCTTTCTCCTCAATCTCGTGCTTGAGGATCTCCAGGTCCATGGTGAGCTCATCCACTTTCTCCTTGAGGGAGTCGACCTCCAGCTGCAGAGACTCGGCCCTCTCCTCAGCCATCTCCTTATCCAGCGTGGCCATCTCGATCGCATCCGCTGTGTCCGACATCTCCTCCATGTAATGCTCCTTCGCCTCCAGGGCTTCTTTAGCCTCCTGCACAAAGAATCGGTTATGTATAGTTATGTACAGTTGTCTATATAGTCGTAATACAGTCTTTAAAACTTTATTTTATTTAAGTTAATTATTCATTTAAAGGCAGTATTCTGTTGTTTTTTCCTGCTGCTGAATGGGTGTGGTTGGTCATGCTGCTAATATCTAATCTTCCAATTTCATTAGTGTGGGTTTGTCTCATTAGCTGAAATACTGCCTCCTCCACCCCCACAAGAGTATTGTTCTTGGATGAAAACATGATTACTTACAATTACTGTTTTAATTTAGAGACAGCAAACCACACTGGAAATTATCATCAGATATAATTATCAGTATCTGCCATTAACAACATTAATTTCTAGCCCCAATCATACATTTTGTTCTTCACTATTCACTAGAGTTTAAACTTAAAAGCAAACTTGGTTTTAGTCTGAAATATTTCTTAAAAGGCACAAACCAAAGTTAAAGAATTGGGGGGGGGAATAATAAGTATTGGGTACATTTTATGAAAAGTCAAAAAAACAGTCAAAAGCTTAGTTAATCTACTTCATCGTGATTTGAGGGTGTAGTTTAATCAGATTTGATCCTGGAAACATGAACAAACAACTCGAAAACTATCGAGATTTTCATTCAAATGTTTTCCAACTGAGCCTCGCCCATTTTAAACCAGTAAGGAAAAGCAAAGACAAAAACACAAATGATGAAATCTCTCTAGTAAAATAACCAAAACTGTTTTAACTTTCACAGAAAATGTTGAGTTCATGTCAGATCCAATTGATTCACAGCAAGAAACTGATTATTTTTTATCTCCATTTCACTTTCTTTAGCTCCATGTCAACTTGATATTGTGAGTTGTGGTTAAAATACTTACAAATGTTTTGTCTATCATGAAAACAAAAAGCTATTAATTATTTAAAATAAAACAATTTTGAGCATTACATTATATTAACTTATATCCATGAATTTTATTCTTTAGCTTCACTTTTATCATCATGACTTGTTCCTGCAGCCATTTTGTGGCTGCACTGATATAATATGTACTTACCTAATCACCCACCCACTCATTCATCAAGCAACCTCTCCACCATCTACTCATCCATCTACCCATCTATTGCCCCTTACCCTCTTGGCCTCTTTGAGTTGCTTCTGCAGCTCGGCCTGCTGCTCCTGCATCTTGGTCTTCCACTCCTGCAGCTGCTCCAGCTGGATCTTGTGCTTCTCCAGCTCCTTCAGCTTTGCCTTGTCCTCCGTTCGCTTCATCTTCAGCGTCTCCAGCTTCTCCTCCAGGTCCTTCACTTGACCACGAAGCGCCTCCTCCTCCTGATAGACGAGACACGAGAGGACGGGAAGGCAGATATTTAAAAATAGAGGATTAGTGAGGAGGGCAGATGGGAGGAATAGCAGAGATTTAATTAGTTTTAACACATGTTGTCGGTGCAGAATGCTGAAATAATCACATGTTTACAGTAAAGCACTGTAAGACACATGAAGAGGCTTCAACCCTGCTTTATTACGTCAGTGTTGCTTCTTAGTGAATAATAAAAGCTGGTGGATCACTTTAATGTGACAACACTTTTATCCTTTTTTATGTGTTAGGAAGCTTTAATTTTACTTGTCATGCAGTGACTCCACCTGTGGAGAGGAGAAAGTCAGCGTCAACACACACACATGCTTACAGTATACACACAGAGCAATATGTATCTGCACACACACATAACCACACATCACTTAACAGCAAGAGATCTGAATTCAACCCTGCAATAAATGTGCATTTCAAATGTTGCCTGCGAACTGAGACAAAGCAAACACCAATTAAAGACCAAAAGTCACACTTAGAACGTCTTGTTAAAATGTTAGTGAGAGGAAAACAACACTCCTGTAGCAAGTGCAAAAAAACATCACGTCACGCCACATGACTGCACCTGTGTTTCCATAGTGACGTCCTCCTGGGGGGATAAAATACGAGTCAGACTAATCACGTTCACTTTAAAATTAAACAGTGATAATAATAAAGTGATAATTCCTGACATTTCACTGTTACTTCTCTCTATCCCCAGCTCAAATAACACACAAGAGACTCAACCTGGACCCAGTTGGTGATTATTGAAGAGTTCACAGACAATTAATCAACTAATCTTTAATCGTGCTTAATTGACAATGTGCAATGTGATGACCTCATCACTTCAGCTATTACTGCTTCGTCTCACGGCTGAGAAGCAGCAGACTTAAAGCTGAAAAACACTCCTATTTATCTCCAATTATTGACGGAAAACATAAACCTGCTGCACACAACACTGAGTCTGGTTATCATAAACAATCTCACTAATTATCACTTCAGAACGAAAGCAGGAGACAGTGATGATACACTGACGATCGTTCCATAATAAAAGTAATTTATTTTTAATTCTCTTGCATTGATAGACTTTATGTTTAAGTTTTAATCAAGTTTATTTGATTGACTTCAGTAGAAAGAATAAATGAACCTTCAGTCAGCACTGTTGTTTATCTTGTGTCTGTTAACTATCTATTAACACTTTGGTTAAATGCATTCATAATATACATTTATAGCTGATTTAAAACCTCTTACAAGACGTAAAGTATCACATTAATATTGTTTTCCGCTAAGTTGCTTTTTGTCATTTTACTAACTATTTGATTAAGAAGGAGCGCCACACTCAACCGTATATGAAAACACTAAATAACTAATTAACCTCTGTAAACCTCGGGTGCTGAACACGATGTAATGTTACAGTTACGAATAATTATTTAATTAATAAATAAGCCTGTAGTAGACTCATGACCTGTGCAGTATGTACCCTGCCTCACACCCAGTGCATGCTGGGATACACTCCAGCCACCTGCTGTGACCATGCAGAGGATCAGCTGTTTAGAAAAATTTGTGGATGGATTAAATAACAAATATTGGTTCTACATAATAAATTACAACCAAATATTCTGTGTTTTTCCCGCTTTTATTAGACTGGATTTCATGTGTTTGTTTTTTATGTTGCCTTATATATTATAAGATATCAGTTAAGACCTCTGGCTCAGTTTGATGACACAAACACAAACTGACAGCTGTGTCAAAAAGAAAGTATATTTATAGGAGCTATAAAGAAAATGTCACATCTGATTTAGCTCCTGCACATCTGCTACTACGGCTTATGCACTGAGTCTAAAGAGGCCTTTGATCTTGTTGGCACCACAGTGTGAACTCCAATCAAAGATACCTGCCAGCCATTCATCTTATTCCTGATTACAGACATGTTGTTATTGGTTTTTATAGAGAAAAACGTATCCTGATACCCGACATTAGTCACCTGTTTTAGTCACCTGTTGCTTAAAGAGTGAAGACTTCCAGTATTTGGAGGGTGCAATAAGTTCTTAATTAATTGACGAGCAGTGTTTCCTGTCCACACCGACTGTAAAACATCCGATGTGTGCTGTGTGTGTGAGCTACAGCGGGACGTTGTAAGTTGATACCGACCTTGCTGGGGACGGGGGCCGGAGGGTTTCCAGGGGAGTGTAGGGTGGGGATGATCGGGGCGGCCAGAGGGGTCTGGGCCGGTGTGCTGGGCTCGCTGCTGCTCATCTCCCCAGCAGAGGCCGAGGCCGAGCCGGACGCAGCCCCCTTCCCGCCGGGGCCTCCAGGTCGGCTGGGCTGCTAAAGAAAGCGAGTAAGAATAATAATGAGAAATCTGGATAAAAGACAATAAAAAGACGCACTGATAATGTAATAATGGCCATAATGGAGGTCCCTTATCTCTGATGTTGTGTCCCGATTATATTCAGTTTATGATGTTTAAACTGAACATAAAGAAACCTGACTGTCTTTATCTAAAGTTTCTGATCATCTGTGTGTTTTGATTCCTTTAACATCGCAGCCGGTCAGGATGGAGGATGGAGAACAACGTTTAGCTTGTGGCTGCCTAAACTCGGCTGGTTTAAGCTTCTCTATCTGAAGGGAGACAATGGGAGATAAAGACAGCAATACGTTTTAAGCTCTGCATTATCAAAGTCAAACCTTCCTTTTATTATTCAACGCAATATTTTTTATTTTACTGGTTAAGGAGTATGTACAATAAACGCACTACAAGGAGTTTTTAATCTCAGTTTAATACTGATGCCTCTATATGACCCACATAAACAAACCATCAGTGAGAAGATTGACGATTGTTTTTATATAGTTATTCTTAATGCCTGTCACCGGGTTGGATTCTATCAAATTCACCAAATCCATGAAACAAGGCGGTGGAAACGCTACTTCTTCTGTCCACAGAGGGCGCCAGAATCAAGACAATATTAAAGCTCTTTGTTGCTGCTTTAAGTTGATGACGCATTTACAAATATGGTGGAAACCTGGATTGGCCTTAGTAACGCATTCATTATTAAAAACTAGCATTAGTAGAGGCTTTTGCATGCAACTTATGTAATTTACTTTCCTCGATTACTCGCTGGTTTCCAAGCTAACTGGCTTTTATCTTGTCAGGTAAACTGAGTTGTTGCCTCTCAAGCAACTGGTAAACTTTAACTGGACTTCAACAGAGGACTAAGACCTACATGTTTGATAACTCACAGATTTTCACGTTTACCTTCACTTACATAAATACCAAACTGACCTATACTCAACCACATTGCAACCATTATTTCATGTTGATTTAATTCATTTAATTCTTCACTGGACCTCCATGATAGCCCCTGGACCTGATTTAGGACGCAAATACAAAACTTCAACAGTAAAAAAATGCTCAAAATTAAATAATACATAAAACTAAAATTAGAAAGCAAACAAAGCAATGTTTTAATTAATTAAAACAACAACAAAAAAAAGGACAAAACTGAACAAAAGCAACAATAACTGCAGCAGAAAAACTGAGAATGTTGAACACAAGATATTTGTGCAAAAGTCCAAATGGATGAAAACAAAAAAAGAAACGTGTGATGTGTTGTAGTCAGTAGAAAAGCTATTAACCAAAATTATCTTTCCTCTAATGGAAGTAAAATGGATTGTGAATCATGTGTGATGATGTATCGTCAATACTGTGCTGGCAACACTCACACACACACACTCACAACTGCTGCATGAAGTGAAACAACAATCGACACCTAAATAATTCACACTGATAGAAATGGGAAGCCCTGAAGACTCTGAAGACTGGGCTCACCTTGGGCCTTCGGGCCGTGGTCTGAGGAGTAGAGGACGGAGAGAAAAAGAGAGGAGGAGGAGGAGAGGAAAAGGTCAAAGGGCAGCAGAGGAGGAGAGGAGGGAAGGGAAGGAAACAAACAGCCCAGGGTTAGTGATTCAAGGCAAAGTTCATATTAAACAGGAAATCACACAGAAAAGGACAAAATGAGTGGATGAAACTTTAATGACTGACAGTAAAACCCCACAAAGAGTCCGTTATCATGTAAAATCCCTTCAGATCTCTACTCTGTTGTTTTCTCTTGTCCTAGCTGAGTCTCCGGAGACTCATCTCTTCCACCCATGTGACCAAAAACCCCTCGGTAACAACACGGACGCAGCGACTGGTACGGCCGCTGTGACCTAAATGACTGCATTGTGTCTTGGGGGGGGGACGGACGCAGCAGATGAGGTTCCTCTGAGCCCAATCCTGTTGTACTGCGCTCATTCTGTAGACAGCGCTGGGATAATGGCTTGTTATCCTGCTACATCGCCTGTTTCTGACATGCTACACAGCCGGCTGAAAGAGTCGGAGCTTCAATGAAGTGTGCAGAGAGATATCCACACTCTGTTCTCATGTAATGTCCATGCAGTCTGTCTGAGACCTGGGTTACTCGGTTTAAACTGCTCGGAGACGCAGAGATTTGCCCTTAAAGACAACAAAGAACACCCTTAAAAGTGTAGACAATCCCACAACCATAAGTTAACTCTTTTTACAACCTTCATGCTTATGAAATGTTTCCAAATTGTAACATGCATGGGTGTGTCTAGACTCTGTTTACAGTGTGATCTATAATGTCTCCATTTTAATTTCTGTACAAATCAGAAATGAAATTGCGTTTTGTTATTAAATTTGATGGGAATTAATTAGAAAGTTAATTCTTGACGTTGGAAAAAGCAGCTGACAGAACATTTAGTAGCTGTTATGAAGCCTTTCCATCATATTAAGGCTGCAATCAACAATTATTATTATCATTATTGATTAATCTGCCAGTTATTATCTTGATTAATTGGTTAGACTTTGAAATGTCAAAAGAGAACACATTGTCTTGTTTGTCTTATTCAATTTACTCTCATATTAAACTGAGAAAATGGAGAAAATGCTCACATTTGTGAAGCTGTAACTTCCATATTTGAGAGTTTTTTGCTTGAAAAGTTACTGAAATTATAAATAAAATATCAAAACACTGCAGATTAATTTTCTTTTGATCGATTAAATCCATTAACCACCAAATCACTGCAGCTCTACAAAAGGACTTTTGCTTAGTTGTCATGAATTTGTACAGTAAATTATCAAATTATCACTATTTTGTTTTGGTAATTATTTCCTAGAAAGTTTCCTGAATAGTTTCTGTAATTTGGTACTAATTATAGAAACAACAGAGACGAGGGTCTGAAGGAAGTTCTCCATAAGTAAATATACTTATAAATTATCATTAACTTCTTATATATATTGTTAAATTAAATTCTTTCTTCTAAACAATGTACAATGTTTAGTAAAAGAGCTCCAGCTTAGTAGTTACCTGTAATTATTCACTGGAGGAAACCAACTGAACTACATTGTTCTCTCCAAGAAATGTACATAATCAGGAAATTGTGAGGAAATATATGGATTTATGGAGCATTATCTAAATATCAATAATCAAATAATTTATACTTTTTTGGGGGGGGAAACATAATCTGAAGACACCCAATAACAGCTACTGAATGGACATTGGTGGGGAGACTCAGTAAATGTTGTTATACTTTGATTTTGAGGTAAGTAAATACACATTTTCCCACATTTTGTCACTATGTGGTGATTAAACACTATTTAACTCAGGTCTGTGCAGACTCTTCTATCCTGATCTGAAGTCCTTCACTTCTCACTGGCTTTCTTCTCTTCTGTCATCTGCACACTGACTCTCTCTCTCTCTCTCTCTCTCTGTCTCTCTGTTTCAGCTTGGGCACGGCCATCGCTTTGGCTAGTTATTGTTCTTTATTGGATTAGAGCTGGACCATTCAGCAGAAATTAGCACGAGCTAACAGCTGTACCAAATAAGAGCTGACAGCCCTCTTAAGCCATCGTGCCGTTGCGCCGTAGATATCAGAACAGGCTGTACTAGAAATCACAGAATCACGTTGCTACGTCTGCAACCAAGAGTGAAATCACTGGACGGACAAAAAAAAATCGTTGACCTCGTAAAACCCCCTGTGGAAGGCATGACTTCTGCATGCTGAGCCCAAATACAGACAGACAGAGAAATACAACTGAACTCAAAGCTACTGCACACACACATATGTAAAGGCATGAAGTAAAAAAAGGCACTCTGAGTTGGCAAAAATCAATACTGAAGGAAAAATTTACTGACAAAAAAAACAGCAAAACCAAGCTACAAGTACACTTCTACTTCCACAATAGGGAATATATTTATATAAAAAAAGGAAAATTTCCACCAAAACGAGGATAAAAATGAGGATCAACTGAAACTTCCAAGCATGACCTTTACAGCAGCTTCTGCCAACAAAACAAATGGATGGTGACAACAACAACATCCCAACAGATAAGGACGATCATATGGAGTTCAGTACCTTCCGGGGTGCAGGAGTCTGTCTCATCATATTTGCAAGAGAAGAAGACACACACACACACGGTCACCAAGATATACACACACACACACACACACACACACACACAGGAAGGTGATAAAACAGGCAAAGATCCACGCAGGTTCAGGACAGACAGACAGACAGCTGAAGCCGAACAGACAGCCACTCAGGCCGGGAAGCTGCAGTGGTGCAAATGGCCGCAGCGTTTTTTTCCCAGGTTCCCTCCCTCCCTGCCTCCGTCCGTCCGTCCCTTCCTCCCGCTGTCGTCCTCCTTTATGTCCTCCTGCTCAGCGTCTCTCATAATCCATTTCCCGGAGCCCCTCGGTCGGTGCCTCCCTTTTCCTTTCTGCTCCGATTATGACTCTGACATCTTGCTACAAGCGAGCCTCCGACCTGCTACTGCTCACAGGAGACGCCTCGCCTCCCCTAACCTTCCTCTCCTCCCTCCTCCCCTCTGTCTCACCCCCCTCCCCTCCTGCTGCCTCTCTCTCTCTCTCTCTCTCTCGCTCTGCTTATTGTGATTTGTCAGCCCAGCCAATGCCCTGCTCCTGCATTACATCACTGTGCACCCTCCCTCCCTCCCCATGCTGCTCACCCACTCATCACCACCTCTACCACAGACAGACAGGGAGGGATGGGTGAGACAGTGTGTATGTGTGTGTGT